CATTGCTACGTTTTAAAAGCTTCCAGGTGACTCCAATGTGCAGAGTTGAAAATCACTGGCCTAAATCATCCTAGCTGTGAAACTTAAGCAATGCATATCTTTTTTGCTTACTCTGAACCCTTCCTAATTTGCTAGGTTAGGCTGAGAGCCAAGACTGTCAGGTACATTCTACTTCCCTTCCTTAAACTTCTTAAACTTCAGAATTTGCAGTCTCTGTGAAGGGCTAAGGACTGCTGAGATCCTGATCACCTAAGCTCCCACCACCGCCAGGTGGAGCCTGGGGCAGCCAGAGGCCCTGGGCCACTAGTTTTCAGTAGCAAGCCGCCTCAGCCATTCACCCCAGTGCGCCATCACTAATATCTTTTCTAAAATGCCATGAGTGAAAATAGCTGGAAAGCAGTGGCATGAGCTGACTTCTCTATTTCCCTGGCAACTCTGCTCTCATCTATTTGCTTTGGTATTAAACAACTAAACTTAATTAGGAGTGAATACTCTATCTTGGTTCTGGACTGAATCTTATTTTAAAATGATTTTTTTTCAGGCTCTTTTACATACCTAATTAAAGTGATTCCTCAGCATTTTCAATTTCTACTACTTCTTCTCCCTTCTATTTAACTTAGAAGCAGTATGAAATTAAAAATTAAGGTTATGACATGTATCTGGGAACACAGCATTTTGAATGCCCATGATTATCGTAGTATTACAAAAGCAATTATAAATTCAATTTAGAGTTAATGATTGATTGAATGTACTCAACCAGAGCAGTTTTCGTTACTAGCTAGAATGAGCTCATGAGCACTTCTCAGGATACCCAAATGGTGATCATAAGAAGACAGAGCTACTAAGGTGGGTTTACTCAGTCGTTGGCTTATTCATTCACTCATTTATTTCTTCATTTAGTCAACTTTCATTGAGTTTAAATACTAAGAATACAAATATAGACACAGCATCTTCTCTAAAGAAATTCAAAAGCCAACAGGGAGACAGAACTAAATATTTTAATGTAGCGTATTAAGTACTATTACAGAAGACAGGCAAGATACAGTGAGAACATAAAGAAGGGAAGACTTCACCCAGGAAAGATACAGTAATACCTCAGTTTGCGAGCATAATTTGTTCCAGAAACAAACTGCTCATATTGCAAGACATCGCTTGTTTACCAACTTAAAATGTATTACTAGGTTGATGTGAAAGTAAACCGCTATTACTTTCGCACCAACCTAATAGAAATGTTTGCTCATCTTGTGGAACACTCGCAAACCAAGTTACTCGCAATCCAAGGTTTTACTGTACTTGACTTGGAGTTGAAGAAGAAATAGGAGTTTGCCCAAATGGATGAGGAGTGGAGGTGGTGTGAGGATGGGGAGGTCATCCCAGGAAAATGTCACAGAATAATCAAAATGTGCATATGAATAAATCAGTCTGGCTCACTGAGGAAACAAAAGTATTTTAGGATGTCTAGATTATTGGAGAGGAGCAAACGAATAAAAGAATGACAGTCAACAAGAATCAGAGCATGATTATATTAGCATTTGTAAAGCCATAGCCCAAGTATTCACATTATGCTCAATCTAATGAAACAATTTCCCTTAATAGAAGAGAAATGGTCCCATCAAATCCAGAAATATATTTCTTACTCAGGGACACAAGTGTTCTCATCTATGCAAAAATGCATGTATCAGCTCTTCATGTTTAGTGCATACTGGCTATAAATATCATCTCATTCATTCTCCTCTGATTCTCCCAGAGCAACCTTTGATTATTACTTGGCTTCCCATGTAGATTTATCTATGGGAGTGAGGATGAAAGACAAACTTGATTGGTGAAGTCATCTAGACCTGGAGCCATCTTTGTGGT